TATATATATACCTTGCCTAAATACACATAACCAGACTTAATGGCAACATCCCAGATTGCATTTTCAAATTTTGACTAAATTTTACAGTTTTTTTCACAGTACTGAAATTGGACCAAATTGGCTAAAGTCCCATAAACTGATGATTTCCAAGAATATAATTTTCTCTTCTTTTATATGAATACCTTGCCTAAATACACATAACCAGACTTAATGGCAACATCCCAGAATGAATTTTTAAATTTGGACTAAATTTTGAAGATTTTTTCACAGTACTGAAATTGGACCAAATTGGCTAAAGTCCCATAAACTGATGATTTCCAAGAATATAATTTTCTCTTCTTTTATATGTATACCTTGCCTAAATACACATAACCAGACCTAATGGCAACATCCCAGAATGAATTTTTAAATTTGGACTAAATTTTGAAGACTTTTTCACAGTACTGAAATTGGACCAAATTGGCTAAAGTCCCATAAACTGATGATTTCCAAGAATATAATTTTTTCTTCTTTTATATGTATACCTTGACTAAATACACATAACCAGACTAAACGGCAACATCCCAGAATGAATTTTTAAATTTGGACTGAATTTTACAGGTTTTTTCACAGTACTGAAATTGGACCAAATTGGCTAAAGTCCCATAAACTGATGATTTCCAAGAATATATTTTTCTCTTCTTTTATATGTATACCTTGCCTAAATACACATAACCAGACTAAACGACAACATCCCAGAATGAATTTTTAAATTTGGACTGAATTTTACAGGTTTTTTCACAGTACTGAAATTGGAACAAATTGGCTAAAGTCCCATAAACTGATGATTTCCAAGAATATAATTTTCTCTTCTTTTATATGTATACCTTGCCTAAATACACATAACCAGACTTAATGGCAACATCCCAGATTGCATTTTCAAATTTTGACTAAATTTTACAGGTTTTTTCACAGTACTGAAATTGGACCAAATTGGCTAAAGTCCCATAAACTGATGATTTCCAAGAATATAATTTTCTCTTCTTTTATATGTATACCTTGCCTAAATACACATAACCAGACTTAATGGCAACATCCCAGATTGCATTTTCAAATTTTGACTGAATTTTACAGGTTTTTTCACAGTACTGAAATTGGACCAAATTGGCTAAAGTCCCATAAACTGATGATTTCCAAGAATATATTTTTCTCTTCTTTTATATGTATACCTTGCCTAAGTACACATAACAAGACTAAACGACAACATCCCAGAATGAATTTTTAAATTTGGACTGAATTTTACAGGTTTTTTCACAGTACTGAAATTGGACCAAATTGGTTAAAGTCCCATAAACTGATGATTTCCAAGAATATAATTTTCTCTTCTTTTATATGTATACCTTGCCTAAATACACATAACCAGACTTAATGGCAACATCCCAGAATGAATTTTTAAATTTGGACTAAATTTTGAAGACTTTTTCACAGTACTGAAATTGGACCAAATTGGCTAAAGTCCCATAAACTGATGATTTCAAAGAATATAGTTTTCTCTTCTTTTATATGTATACCTTGCCTAAATACACATAACCAGACTAAACGGCAACATCCCAGAATGAATTTTCAAATTTGGACTGAATTTTACAGGTTTTTTCACAGTACTGAAATTGGACCAAATTGGTTAAAGTCCCATAAACTGATGATTTCCAAGAATATATTTTTCTCTTCTTTTATATGTATACCTTGCCTAAATACACATAACCAGCCTAAACGGCAACATCCCAGAATTAATTTTTAAATTTGGACTGAATTTTACAGGTTTTTTCACAGTACTGAAATTGGACCAAACTGGCTAAAGTCCCATAAACTGATGATTTCCAAGAATATATTTTTCTCTTCTTTTATATGTATACCTTGCCTAAATACACATAACCAGACTAAACGGCAACATCCCAGAATGAATTTTCAAATTTGGACTGAATTTTACAGGTTTTTTCACAGTACTGAAATTGGACCAAATTGGTTAAAGTCCCATAAACTGATGATTTCCAAGAATATAATTTTCTCTTCTTTTATATGTATACCTTGCCTAAATACACATAACCAGACTTAATGGCAACATCCCAGAATGAATTTTTAAATTTGGACTAAATTTTGAAGACTTTTTCACAGTACTGAAATTGGACCAAATTGGCTAAAGTCCCATAAACTGATGATTTCAAAGAATATAGTTTTCTCTTCTTTTATATGTATACCTTGCCTAAATACACATAACCAGACTAAACGGCAACATCCCAGAATGAATTTTCAAATTTTGACTGAATTTTACAGGTTTTTTCACAGTACTGAAATTAGACCAAATTGGTTAAAGTCCCATAAACTGATGATTTCCAAGAATATATTTTTCTCTTCTTTTATATGTATACCTTGCCTAAATACACATAACCAGCCTAAACGGCAACATCCCAGAATTAATTTTTAAATTTGGACTGAATTTTACAGGTTTTTTCACAGTACTGAAATTGGACCAAACTGGCTAAAGTCCCATAAACTGATGATTTCCAAGAATATATTTTTCTCTTCTTTTATATGTATACCTTGCCTAAATACACATAACCAGTCTAAACGGCAACATCCCAGAATGAATTTTTAAATTTGGACTGAATTTTACAGGTTTTTTCACAGTACTGAAATTGGACCAAATTGGCTAAAGTCCCATAAACTGATGATTTCCAAGAATATATTTTTCTCTTCTTTTATATGTATACCTTGCCTAAATACACATAACCAGACTAAGCGGCAACATCCCAGAATGAATTTTTAAATTTGGACTGAATTTTACAGGTTTTTTCACAGTACTGAAATTGGACCAAATTGGCTAAAGTCCCATAAACTGATGATTTCCAAGAATATATTTTTCTCTTCTTTTATATGTATACCTTGCCTAAATACACATAACCAGACTTAATGGCAACATCCCAGAATGCATTTTTAAATTTGGACTAAATTTTGAAGACTTTTTCACAGTACTGAAATTGGACCAAATTGGCTAAAGTCCCATAAACTGATGATTTCCAAGAATATAATTTTCTCTTCTTTTATATGTATACCTTGCCTAAATACACATAACCAGACTAAACGGCAACATCCCAGAATTAATTTTCAAAGTTTGACTGAATTTTACAGGTTTTTTCACAGTACTGAAATTGGACCAAATTGGCTAAAGTCCCATAAACTGATGATTTCCAAGAATATATTTTTCTCTTCTTTTATATGTATACCTTGCCTAAATACACATAACCAGACTAAACGGCAACATCCCAGAATGAATTTTTAAATTTGGACTGAATTTTACAGGTTTTTCACAGTACTGAAATTGGACCAAATTGGCTAAAGTCCCATAAACTGATGATTTCCAAGAATATATTTTTTTCTTCTTTTATATGTATACCTTGCCTAAATACACATAACCAGACTAAACGGCAACATCCCAGAAGGAATTTTCAAATTTTTACTGAATTTTGAAGATTTTTCCACAGTTTTGAAACTGGACCAAATTGGCTAAAGTCCCATAAACTGATATATTCCAACACTAAATTTGGACCAAATTGGCTGAATCCCCGTGTTATTGTTAGATTCCTTATATGTTGCATATCTACAATGAAACTGTAATTTCTATGTGAGCCATATTATTTATGTGAAAATCTAAGACCGAAAAACAAAACTTGTGTCATTACTTCTGGCGGTAAATGGTATTCTCTTATCAAGAAAGTGATAAAATCTACTTCAAACACGATATACCTATGTTCAATGAGAAAACTTAACGCACACTCGCAGTAAATATATACAGTCCGTTTGAAGTTGCACGCATAGTTACAGGATTACCAAAACACATACTTGAAACAGGATGTAGCACTTTTCAGAAAGAAGAAAACATCGCTAACTTTGCATATTACATAAAAGTTACAATGATAAAGTCACCACATATATATTTACGTGACCCTTTGTCTATTACTGTTTAGACGGGGACTTCATAAAAAATTAGCAATGCGTGTAATATTAAAAAACATATATTTTATTTCCTTCATCTTAAAAAATGTGAAGCGATGTACATATTGGAGAAGGGGACTAGTCAACCCGTACTTTCAACAACCCGTAACCCATACCTGAGATTTTGGCTTACCCATACCTACATTTGGCTGATCCGTACTCAAATTGGCCGACCCGTACCTAAAATTGGCTGACCCGTCCCCAAATTCGGTTAAGTCGTACCTAAAATTGGCTGATCCGTACCTATACATTTGGCTGACCCGTACCCTATAGACGTGTTTGTTATTAGAAAACAAAGTGGCGGAGAAACAGGATTGTTTTAACCAGAAGAGACAAAGGAAAACATACAAAAAGTGTTTGATGCACATATTCATTCAATTTCATTCAATTCATACAAATTTATACTTCAGTCTCGGTGAATGACATCGACCTGACGTAGACAACATCATATTTATGCTAACTTTCGTCCAAGAGACCAGTTTGTGAAATATATCGGATGTTGTTTTCAGTAATTCCGACTGCCTTGAAGCTAGCCATTGTTATTACAAACTACCTATCGGTAGCGATTGGCTTATTCAGTTATTAACATGCTTTTCATTCAGTTAACTAAACATGGCAGTTTTCAGATTATCAAAAGTTTAGCGTTTTATAAAAAATCTCATTATTTTGATAGTAAATGTCAACAATGAGTGTTTTACAAATTGGCTCAATCAATTAAGTGAACTTCCCGCTTTTGTTTAAGCATATTGGTCAAGAAACTCTTGAGGGTCATGTCGATGTTAGATAAAACTATGTCTTTGTGTTGAATATTAGTATTAATAATATCAATTTCTATTGGGTACGGGTAAGCTTTTTCAAGGCAAGGGCCACTGAGTAAGGGTTATTGAAACATGGGTACGGGTAAGCCAAGAGATGTTTTCCCGCCCTCTCACTAAACTGAAGAGTAATAAACAAACAAACCACGTGAAATAAGAACATACAATATATAATAAAATCAAAACAAAAATTGTCTGCGAGGTCTGTCATGAGATAACTTCAAAAGGAATGTCCACTGGACGACGAGGTCATTGTTTGCGTCAGTAACACAAATTGTACATAGATTTGAACTAATAATAAATGTCTGTGTAGGTAACACCTATACAAATATATTTTCAAAAGAGATTGAATTTCCAAAAATATCTATCAATAATCTCCATTTGTACTTCCCCGTCCTTGTGTTTACACTCCTTAATTTCTGAACATTTCCTAACAGTGTATTTATATTTCGTGTAAATATTGTTAATGAAAGTTATATACCCAAGTTGAAATAAGTTGTGCCCAATTTAAATATAAATATGTTGAAACAACACAGAAGATATATATCCACTGCCCTCCACTGGATAGACTTGCGGTTTTTTTCTTATGATTTTTTCAAATATATTTTCATCATTTAACTGGATTTGGGCGACAGTATAAAAAGACAATTAAGTTATTTTGTTTAAGACGTCGATAAGAATTAAGGACTGACGCGTTGATGCCCCAGAAACATTTTACTTTTTAGACTTACGGCAGAAGTTACACATATAACAACTTTCACCAACGTGGATTTTCGAAAATCGCGAAAATATAATGATTGTTACAATACAAATAGTGTTAACTCATATAGGAATAATTCGCTTTCGATGCAGTAGTCCCATTCCCACTTTACACTTGTGCTAAAATATCTCATGACATTATTATTATTTTTCTTACAAAATATATGTTTAAAAAATGGCAATAAATATCATATTAGAAGCAACAAATAGCATAAGAGAAAAAGAAGAAAGTTTGACATATCTTCATTAAATACAATCTACTTTGTTTGGAAACAAATTTTATAAAAAGACACACAAACTTGACATGAATGTTCCTGGAAGAATGACCTCATATGTTTACTTTCAAACTTCGAATCTGAAAGCAAACACAGGATTTGTAACTGCCTGTACAGAAAAGGCACTTGCATGATTTATTCAATGTCAATTTCGTTTCCGTTTACCAATGCAACATTTTAATGTTCGGGCTACGATATCCGCCATTATGGATTGGTCACTTCGCTTTCAGCATGCTGTCGGCTTGTTTAAATCAGAGACTCTCAGATAGCGTATTTTAGTCGCTGTTTATCATTATAAAATAATATTTATGAAAACGTTGCGAGATTTTTTAATATTGATTAGAAAAATTGGTCCGGCTAGTCAAATTGGTCCTCTACAGACGTCGAACTCGCGAGTGCGCATGAATGATATGGTATTTAATAATTCGTCGGGTGATTTTTGTGGTGGTTTTGAAAAGTGTGGTAGGGAACACTGTAAGGATGATGTGGATAATAGTAAGGAACGATGGAGGAATAAGCATGACTAGTGACGACACAACGGTGAGTTCGCTTTTGAATCAGTACTGAAAAATGTAGCCGTGAAAGTGGCTTGTGTGAATGTTCCAGGACAGTTTCCATTAGCCAAAATATTCGACACAAAACCATTTCATCCTTTTTACTCGACTTATTTGTGGGAAGAATATAAGGAGCCGCTATATAATCTATAATAGCCACTAAACGAGTACCTAGCCCCTAACCCTAATGATCGTAAAGGGGTGATTGATCGTAAAGGGGATCCAAGGGTTAAGGATAGACTTAGGGTAATCTAATACCAACTAAACGGGTTCCTAACCCTAATGATCGTAAAGGGGTGATTTATCGTAAAGGGGATCCAAGGGCTAAGGATAGAGTTCTGGGTAACCTACCCTAACACTGGCGACATTTGGATGTGTTCAGCACCACTAAATATCCCTAACAAACTACATTATTGTCCATAATAATGAAAATTTATGCACCGAAAAAATAATATATGTATATTAGTTCCCATTTATAACCCTTTTAGCCACTTGAATTACGAGAAAAACGAAATAAAAAAAAATAAAAAAATAAAAGTGCTTTTGTAAACTAGCGCTTGCTATAAAATGCGCCGCCTGCAGGCTATATTCAGTAAACAAATATTCAAAACTCTCCACAGCGCTTGGCGTATTCAATGACATTTCGTGTAGAGATGCTAGATCACTGGGAGGAGCTTATGCACACTCGATGACGCCTGACGTCACAGGGCATTGTTTCGCCGGTGTGACTGGCAACAAAATACTACAATTTACGTCATAGGGTATGATCACGTGTTTGAAAGGTTTGTGGTACTGTATTCCAAAGGTAGGCCTTTACGTTATTATTCTTGAACACTGTGTACAACACTAAGAAACATTGTTGTAAGTTTGAAATTTCTCAAGCTAGTAGGCGGGGCTTGCTGATCTTGGCATCAGCCAATGGTAATAATCTTTAACAAACCGTGCTCTTACTACCATGATACAGCACGGGTAAGCTCGCAACCCGTGCTACAATATTCAACGATATTGCGTGTGGAGTTGATAGATAACTGTGAGGAGCTTATGCACACTCGATGACCCCAGCAACCTTGTTGCTAGGCTGACGTCACTTGGCATTGTTTCGCCGAAGGATCTTGCAACAAAATTCCACAAATTACGTCATCGGGTATTGTGACGTTATATTGTAAACTTTGAGGTGCAAGGCCCGTTTCACTGGCGATCGTATTGTGGCGCAACGATAGTCGTTGGTCTAAGTTTAAGTATGTGAGTTGCGATAGTTTTAGCCCTACGATAATTTTGTGAATTCTAATGGTGGACCGTTGTATGGTATTAAATTCATACGTTTCAACTTTTGACGTCTTTGAAGTATTATTCTGTTAAACCCTGCCGTGGATCGTGTAGGTGTCAGCCTATTCATACTCAACAGTATAATTCTAAAAACGTTATAAATGGCAAGTAATAAATAAAATACCAAACTTGCTCCCGTGTAAAACCAGTTTCATAAAATTGGTATTACACGGGAGCGAGTTTAGTATTCTATATATAGCATACAGATTATGAAGCAATCATAAAATCTGGCAGGTTTGCCACAAATCACTCAAATACTAAATGGTTACTCCCTCCAGTAACAATTTCTGGGGTATCGTGGTTTATTCCCATATTAAGTCGAATAAAATTCAGAATACATCATGCACGCTAATATACTTCACAGTTTTGAATAAGGTTGGAGATTCCCTGTTCTGTGATATCATCCACTGGCATTTTAGGCCAAGCAAAAGTACTAAAAATGACCTCTGAAACTTAGGTACTTCGTAAATGTCGCCATTTTTTACTAAATCGCCACACACCGCGTTATTTACAGCATGTTTTGACATCTAAATTTTGGGTATTTACTCCCAGAAATGAATTTCAAAAATAGCATATTAGTGATCACGGGTATTTGTCCTTTATGAAATCACCAATGCTCATTCCAAAACGGCTCCGATAACCCTAGAATCGTTTAGAATGTTTTGGAAAATACGCAAACACGAACGCCGAAGTGAACTTTCCGCCATATTGGATAGTGTTTACAAAATCACGTTTCAGGTATACCGGTTATGAGGCGCCTGTAACATCACGTATATTTCAAACTTAGCTGCGATACACACATCCTTGAACTCCTCACACATTTTAGAATCGAATGAACAATGGTCTTTGTCACCAATACGTAGCGGCTGGATGAAATCAAGCAAAATAAATAAGGCGTGAAAACGAACGCTGTGCTCGAAAAACTGCACTTGTTTGAAATGTAAACAAAGCAAATACAGATTTTACACAGTGTAGCATTTTCTCCTATTTTGAGCTATCCCTTCGTCTATTCGTTCAATATATTGGCTCAACATTTTCAGAATATGCAAGGGAAGAGAATCGTAGGAAGAATAAGGGAATTTAAAAAAGATACATTGACAATTTCTGTTGAAAATATCAAATCATTGCATAGTTACCGTCCTGTGTGACGCCATGATTGACGCAAAATCACGCACAACGACAACGGTATTTATCGGAATTTCTGACTATTTCGGTTTGTTTCAATGAAAATTATAACAACAAATAACAGTACATAGATTGTCGGAATGTGTCTGATTACTTACATGTCAGGTTTCGTCATTTACGGCATGCAGTTTTTGGCATTGAATGTATGTCGTTATACATACGCCCATAACTCCATTTGATATATATATAGTTATGTCGTTCAGATATTAGGCAGTATTTTGTTCGCTGACAGTTTCCGTAAAGCTTCGAAATAAAAAAACCACGTCGCACAGTACTTTTATCGGTGTACGATAAAGAGCGGAGAAATTTACTGTTTTTCAACGCAGAATAAATTCTCGGACAACACTTAATTAGAAGAGTATTTTTTTAAAACAGGTTTAATATTTGCAGTTTACTTTACATCATCAAATAGGAAATTTAATATTCTCCACCTCTGCGTAATTTTATAGCTAGAGGTATATATCCAGTGCCGCGTGAGCGCAATTCTCGCACAACATTCACTTTTCCGATCTTAGGAAAATGTGCGTCAGAAAAAAACTCGGCATCCAGAGGGTTAAACCTCCAAATGACGACGATGATGATGATGATGATGATGATAATGATGATAATGATCTTACTGCACAATTGACTGACAACGGTGTAAGGATCTATACTGAAACGTCGCATCATAACAGAATAAAGAACTCATCCATACATAGCTTGTCTTGGCTGTTGTAACAGAAGTTGGTGTTTCAATGTATGTTTTTACAAATAATAGTGTAAATTGTGTCCATCTCAATAACAATTTATAGTGGTAACACGGCTTGTATGGAAGAAAGGCCCGAAGCGATGCCGGTCTCAGACAACGTTGCGGAGACCCATGGTCACGAGTATCGGATGCACATAAATGATAAAGAATCCTTATCACGGCGATTCTGAGATCGGAACCCACCTAATATACGACCAAACTACACTAGATGAGTGGGATTTCTTTGTATCTCTGACTTCCTGAATGTTGGGATGGAGAAGACTAATTGTGTGTAATGTGTTAGAGATCTGTCAGTTGGCATTCAATGGGAATGTAATTGATAGAGCTACTTCCATATTACATAATAAATATACGCCACCTCGTTTTCTAACTCCACTGAACTTTATCTAACCAAGTTAGTTAGACTTGACTGCTAATTTGAGACATTACGTCATTAATATACGACACATCATTATGCATTGCCCCCTCGAAAACGCCGATTGCGTTCTACTGATTACATTTGTACTGTGAAACATACCTTGTATGAGATGCCACGACAGTAACAGCACTGTGAGTTGTGTGCAGCCGGTGCGGTAAGGCATACTCAGTGGACAGGGTAACAGTTAGAGTCACAGAGATTCACAGCAATGTGCACATCAACGAACAATAGTGTTTGCGCGAATAAGCAAGCTAGGTAGTCACATATTTAGGTACAAAGGTTCTCGGTGATAACCAGATCAAGATACCCGTATCTCCCAACTGCGTCATACGTCAGGGCGCGATGTCGCATCAGTCAGTCTATATATCCATTCTTGAAAGGATAACGTTTTATCATTAGAATGGTATGGTATGTTATTACTACTAGACTTCCGTTATCATATTTGGGCGTTATACTAACCAGTTATTTAACAGTAACATAACATTTTACTTTTCAGGTAAGTTATGTAAAAGATTAGTGCACTGATACATGTGATTAGTTTAGTTTTTCATTTGTTACGTTTTCAATTAACGTCATGCAGAAAGACAACACTGGCAGTCACAGCGGCATGGACAAACAACGGAACACGCGCCACGACCACGCACTACTGATCACGCACTACGACCACGCCCCACGGATCACGTACCAGGGATCACGCCCCACGACCAAGCACCACGGAACACGCACCACAGGATACGGATCAAGCACCACGGATCACGCACCACGGCCACGGAACACGAACCGCGACCACGCACCACAGGAAACGCACCACGGTTCACGCACTACAGGACAAGCACCACGGGTCACGCACCACGGAACACGCACCACATCCACGGAACATGCACCGCGACCACGCACAACAGGACACGCACGACGGAACGAACCGCGGATCACGCACCACAGGACACGCACTACGGATCACGCACCACAGGACACGCACTACGGATCACGCACCACGGATCACGCACCACAGGAGACGGAACACGCACCACGACAATGCAACGCGGAATATTGTAAGAGAGAAAAGAAAATGTACATTGTGTACAAATTTGATATGTGATGAAATGCACTTTTTATTAGAATGTCCAAAACTCTCAGAAATTAGAAACAAGTTTTTGCCTCAATACTACTGTATGTATCCTTCTGCCATAAAATTCTCCTATTTGATGTCCATTACTTATAAGCCACTTCTATTAAAACTGGCGAGTTATATAAGATCATGTATGGAAATGTTCCACTGACATGTTTTCTCCTATTGTATCTAATTCCTGTATCCAATTACATCTCTGTATCACTGCCGTGATTTACGAGAATAAACGTCATTCATTCATTCAACACGCTCCGCGGATCACACACAACGGATGAAGCACCACAAGAGCCGCGCACTACGGATCAGGCACCACAGGACACGGGACACGCATCACGGAACACGTACCACGATCATGCACCACGGAACACGCACGACTGAACACGCACCACAGGACACGCACCACGATCATGCACCCCGGAATACGCACCACAGGACATGGATCACGCACCACGACCATGCACCACGGAACACGCACCACAGGACATGGATCACCCACCACGACCATGCACCACGGAACACGCACCACAGGTCACGGATCACGCACCACGACCATGCACCACGGAACACGCACCACGACCATGCACCACGACCATGCACCACGGAACACGCACTACGGAACACGCACTACAGGACACGGATCACGCACCACGACCATGCGCCACGGAACACGCACCACAGGACACGCACCGCGGATCATGCACAACGACCATGCACCACGGAACACGCACCACAGGACACGGATCACGCACCACGACCATGCACCAAGGAACATGCACCACGACAATGCACCACGGAACACGCACCACAGGACATGCAATATGGATCACGCACTTTAAGACACGGATCACACACCACGACCATGCGCCACGGAACACGCACCACAGGACACGGTACACGCACAACGGATCACGAACCACGACTATGCACCACGGAACACGCACCACAGGACACGCACTACGGATCACGCACCACAGGATACGCACTACAGATCACGCACCTTAGGACACTAATCACGCACCACGACCATGCGCCAGAGGACACGGAACACGCACCACAGGACACGGATCACGCACCACGACCATGCGCCACAGAATACGCACTACGGATCACGCATCACGACCATACACCACGAAACACGCACAACGAGACATGCACTACGGATCACGCATCACAGGACACAGATCACGCACCACAGGATACGCACTACGGATCACGCATCGCGGAACACGCACAACGGATCACGCACCACGACCACACATAGCTCCGCACCTGGGGTCTTATTATATCAGGAAGATGAGATTGACTTGTTTATCATATTCATTCGGCGAAGCCGATCGTTCATGCCTAACCATGCTTTGCCATGTCAGAAAGTAACCAAGTTCAATTATGTCACACAAATTTGAGTTTTCAAGAGAAGTCACATCATTCAGAACACAGTTATAGCCACAGGAAAACCATGCAGACACAAGCTAGGTCCATCAGGGGCAGTGTACATCTAGGCCCCTCAAAACCTGAACTAAAGAACATCAAAGCTCAGTCTCCAAAGACAGTGCCGTAGCCAGCCGCCCTGGAGGTGGGTCGAACAGTTCATATAGTGGGGAACTTCATGATACCTGGAGGGGGCTGGAACAGTCCATATAGTGGGGAACTTCGTGATACCTGGAGGGGGCTGGAACAGACCATATAGTGGGGAACTTCATGACACCTGGAGGGGGCTGGAACAGTTCATATAGTGGGGAACTTCATGATACCTGGAGGGGGCTGGAACAATTCATAAAGTGGGGAACTTCATGATACCTGGAGGGAGCTGGAACAGTTCATATAGTGGGGAACTTCATGATACCTGGAGGGAGCTGGAACAGACCATATAGTGGGGAACTTCATGATACCTGGAGGGGGCTGGAACAGTCCATATAGTGGGGAACTTCATGATACCTGGTGGGGGCTGGAACAGTTCATATAGTGGGGAACTTCATGATACCTGGAGGGAGCTGGAACAGACCATATAGTGGGGAACTTCATGATAACTGGTGGGGGCTGGAACAGTCATTAAAGTGGGGAACTTCATGATACCTGGTGGGGGCTGGAACAGTCCATATAGTGGGGAACTTCATGATACCAGGAGGGAGCTGGAACAGTTCATATAGTGGGGAACTTCATGATAACTGGTGGGGGCTGGAACAGTCCATATAGTGGGGAACTTCATGATACCTGGAGGGAGCTGGAACAGTTCATATAGTGGGGAACTTCATGTTAACTGGTGGGGGCTGGAACAGTTCATGTAGTGGGGAACTTCATGATACCTGGAGGGAGCTGGAACAGTTCATATAGTGGGGAACTTCATGATACCTGGTGGGGACTGGAACAGTCCATATAGTGGGGAACTTCATGTTAACTGGTGGGGGCTGGAACAGTTCATATAGTGGGGAACTTCATGATACCTGGAGGGAGCTGGAACAGTTCATGTAGTGGGGAACTTCATGATACCTGGAGGGAGCTGGAACAGTTCATATAGTGGGGAACTTCATGTTAACTGGTGGGGGCTGGAACAGTTCATATAGTGGGGAACTTCATGATACCTGGAGGGAGCTGGAACAGTTCATATAGTGGGGAACTTCATGTTAACTGGTGGGGGCTGGAACAGTTCATATAGTGGGGAACTTCATGATACCTGGTGGGGGCTGGAACAGTTCATATAGTGGGGAACTTCATGATACCTGGAGGGAGCTGGAACAGTTCATATAGTGGGGAACTTCGTGATACCTGGTGGGAGCTGGAACAGACCATATAGTGGGGAACTTCATGTTAACTGGTGGGGGCTGGAACAGTTCATATAGTGGGTAACTTCATGTTAACTGGAGGGGGCTGGAACAGTTCATATAGTGGGTAACTTCATGATACCTGGAGGGAGCTGGAACAGTTCATATAGTGGGGAACTTCATGATACCTGGTGGGGGCTGGAACAGTCCATATAGTGGGGAACTTCATGATACCTGGAGGGGGCTGGAACAGTTCATATAGTGGGTAACTTCATGATACCTGGAGGGAGCTGGAACAGACCATATAGTGGGGAACTTCATGATACCTGGAGGGGGCTGGAACAGTCCATATAGTGGGGAACTGCATGATAACTGGTGGGGGCTGGAACAGTCATTAAAGTGGGGAACTTCATGATACCTGGTGGGGGCTGGAACAGTTCATATAGTGGGGAACTTCATGATACCTGGAGGGAGCTGGAACAGACCATATAGTGGGGAACTTCATGATAACTGGTGGGGGCTGGAACAGTCATTAAAGTGGGGAACTTCATGATACCTGGTGGGGGCTGGAACAGTCCATATAGTGGGGAACTTCATGATACCTGGAGGGAGCTGGAACAGTTCATATAGTGGGGAACTTCATGATAACTGGTGGGAGCTGGAACAGACCATATAGTGGGGAACTTCATGTTAACTGGTGGGGGCTGGAACAGTTCATATAGTGGGTAACTTCATGATACCTGGAGGGTGCTGGAACAGTTCATATAGTGGGTAACTTCATGATACCTGGAGGGAGCTGGAACAGTTCATATAGTGGGGAACTTCATGATACCTGGTGGGGGCTGGAACAGTCCATATAGTGGGGAACTTCATGATACCTGGAGGGGGCTGGAACAGTTCATATAGTGGGTAACTTCATGATACCTGGAGGGAGCTGGAACAGACCATATAGTGGGGAACTTCATGATACCTGGAGGGGGCTGGAACAGTCCATATAGTGGGGAACTGCATGATAACTGGTGGGGGCTGGAACAGTCATTAAAGTGGGGAACTTCATGATACCTGGAGGGGGCTGGAACAGTCCATATAGTGGGGAACTTCATGATACCTGGAGGGAGCTGGAACAGACCATATAGTGGGGAACTTCATGATAACTGGTGGGGGCTGGAACAGTCATTAAAGTGGGGAACTTCATGATACCTGGAGGGGGCTGGAACAGTCCATATAGTGGGGAACTTCATGATACCTGGAGGGGGCTGGAACAGTTCATATAGTAGGGAACTTCATGATACCTGGAGGGGGCTGGAACAGTCCATATAGTGGGGAACTTCATGATACCTGGAGGGAGCTGGAACAGACCATATAGTGGGGAACTTCATGTTAACTGGTGGGGGCTGGAACAGTTCATATAGTGGGTAACTTCATGATACCTGGAGGGAGCTGGAACAGACCATATAGTGGGGAACTTCATGATACCTCGAGGGGGCTGGAACAGTCCATATAGTGGGGAACTGCATGATAACTGGTGGGGGCTGGAACAGTCATTAAAGTGGGGAACTTCATGATACCTGGAGGGGGCTGGAACAGTCCATATAGTGGGGAACTTCATGATACCTGGAGGGAGCTGGAACAGACCATATAGTGGGGAACTTCATGATAACTGGTGGGGGCTGGAACAGTCATTAAAGTGGGGAACTTCATGATACCTGGAGGGGGCTGGAACAGTCCATATAGTGGGGAACTTCATGATACCTGGAGGGGGCTGGAACAGTTCATATAGTAGGGAACTTCATGATACCTGGAGGGGGCTGGAACAGTCCTTATAGTGGGGAACTTCATGATACCTGGAGGGGGCTGGAACAGTTCATATAGTGGGGAACTTCATGATACCTGGAGGGAGCTGGAACAGACCATATAGTGGGGAACTTCATGAAAACTGGTGGGGGCTGGAACAGTCCATATAGTGGGGAACTTCGTGATAACTGGTGGGGGCTGGAACAGTCCATATAGTGGGGAACTTCATGATACCTGGAGGGAGCTGGAACAGACCATATAGTGGGGAACTTCATGATACCTGGTGGGGGCTGGAACAGTCCATATAGTGGGGAACTTCATGATACCTGGAGGGGGCTGGAACAGACCATATAGTGGGGAACTTCATGATAACTGGAGGGAGCTGGAACAGACCATATAGTGGGGAACTTCATGATACCTGGAGGGGGCTGGAACAGTTCATATAGTGGGGAACTTCATGATACCTGGAGGGGGCTGGAACAGTTCATATAGTGGGGAACTTCATGATACCTGGAGGGGGCTGGAACAGTTCATATAGTGGGGAACTTCATGATACCTGGAGGGGGCTCGAACAGTTCATATAGTGGGGAACTTCATGATACCTGGAGGGGCCTGGAACAGTTCATATAGTTGGGAACTTGATGATACCTGGTGGAGGCTGGAACAGTTCATATAGTGGGGAACTTCATGAT